GCGGGGGGGGCGGGGAGCCCCGTCGGCAGGCTCCGGGCCGTGGGTTCTCTCTCATGCAAGCAGAGCCGGCGCCAGCGGTCTCGCTTCAGGCGTGACACCGGGCCCGGCCCCGTCCAGCCTCTCCTCCCGGGCGCCGGCGGCACTTGCGTTATGGGTTTTTTTTCCAGTTAGAGAAATGTAACTTATTCCTGAACCACGTTGTAATGCTCTTCTTGTTCTCTTGCCAGGAATGAGTACAAGTACTTCCAGAGAATGACTAGCACATCCCATGTGGAAGGTAACATTGTACTTGTTGCTCAGGTGTCCCTCTACTTATTAAAATTAGTTTGTGTGGTACCAGTCACGGAAAAGACTGGTAATTTTACTTTTCCCTGACTTAAAAGTGCTGCTTCTGTAAACAGCCTGCCCTCCCAAGCCTCACAAGTATTTTACCCCTTTGTAAATATGTCATCTGCAGATTGTTTCAGTTAGATAAAGAAACTGGAGGTGAACCAGATGTTTCAGGACTGCAGGTGATTTGTAAATAAAAAGAATTTCAAAGTTCTGTTTCCCCGACAGCGTAGAAAATTTCGCCTATCTGCCTTTACCTACAACTCCAACCCTGAATAAATAAAAAATGGAAAGGTTTTTATATGCTGATTAATTAGCAGAGTTTTTTTTTCAGGCTGTATTAGCTTATCTAACTTGTTTGCTGTAGCTCAGCCTTGGCCATTTGTTCCACCCCTCTGACCCTTGTGACAGTAATTTTGCTTGGTTTTCTGAGTGCTGAGCCATCCCAATACGTCAGAAAACCCTAACCGTACTGATAATATGCAGCAACAATACTGCAACCGTATGCAGTATATCTGTACACAGTAATATGGAACCATACTGGTAATATGCAGCAATAATGTTCAGGCCCAGCGAGACCTTTGCAGCAAAGTAATATAGACTCTATTGATTTGGTGAGATAAAACCAGTTATTGTGGAGTGAAAAAAATCGTGAAAATCAGCACAAACAAACAGGGATAGGAATGCAAAGGATGAAAACAGCCAATTTGTTTTGACTGGGTAGTTATCACTGCTAGAAGAGAAAAGTCTTGCCTCATTGCCCCCATTCCTTCTCACACTGACTTTAGTGCTGGTTTGACATTTCCTTAAGCTGTTTTAATTCTCTAACCCAGTAGACTAGGCTACTGGGTGTCTGCGGGGACTGCCAGTACAAGGTGTGTGGTAGGAGCGGGAAGGAGTCATTGGGAGAGGAGGAACAGGACCTCCCTGAGCCATGCAGCTGGCTCACTGCATCTAGTGGAATCAGATCCACGAGAGACAACAGATTTATCCTCACGTTTCTGCTGCTTCTCTATTTGCCAAGAGAGTGGTCACTCTCTTTCCTGTGGTTTTTTTTTTCATGCTCCTGTTAAAACTGCTGTCTAGCAAAACTCATTTGTTTGCTAAAACTTCTGGGCAGACTAACATGTGCCCTTGTTTTGATTGAGTGACCTATTCCATATTCTGATTTGAAGGTCTGTTCCATATTCCACAAGGAATATCTAATCTCACTTTGCAACAGTCTTAAGTGAAGGATTTTACTTATGTTTTGGAGACCTGATTCAACCCATTGCAACCTTACGTACAAAAAAGATACAACACACATTTAAGTCTTTTTATATGTCTGCAATATGCCTCTTACCTAGCACAAATAACCCATAATCAAAAAAAGATGTTTTAAATATAATTAAAAAGAAAAGTTTTGCTCCATCCTGCCTGCAAATCTTTTGATAAGCTATGACCTTAGATGCTAGGCAGTTAAGTTGCTTCATAACCAGACCTCTTAATGGATTATGCTGCCAGAAATCTTCACAGCAAGGATATCACCATTGGCTCAAAAAAAGTCAGAAGAGTCACTGACTTTTGAAAGTGGGAAGAATACAGCAGAGAAGCATCATCTGATCTTGCTTTTAATGTGCTTGCATACCTGCACTGGCCGCTGCTGTAAGTTAGCAATTGGTCTGGACAAATCTTTGTTCTGACCCCATAAGCATCCCAGTGTGAATCTTTAGTAAGAAAATACATATATTTTTCAGAACTTGTGCATTTCCTTCAGCAGTGGTGCCGGTGGTCTGTGCTAACATATCTAAACTGACACTGCAGTATGTCCCTTGGAAACTCGCTCATGAAGCTTATTTGCAGGAGAAGGGTCTTTAGACACCTAATAAACAACTGGAGCATTGGTTCTCTGGGGTGATCTAGTAGATCCAGCCTCTCAGATCAAGAAGCACGGAGGACAGCTGGGAAGAAATACTAAATTCTCTAAAATCCCTCCTGCGTTGTAGCACTGTAAAAAACTTCCTGTTACCTTTTGTGAGTCTCAACCTCTGTGTTTCTCTGACAACTCCATTTGCTCATAAAGAGAAACCCTTATCAGAGTATATATAAGAGATAATCAGGTTATGAATGTTTGGGTTTGGTCAGAAATTATACTTATGGGTGAATTCTAGAATATGTTTGAACACCTGTTTCACTTCTGCTTTGGATTTAATTTGGCTGGTTCTTCTTCTAAAAGTTATCCTTTTACCTAGCTTTTTTTTTTTTTAAATAACTCTCAAAGCTGGCAATGATTCCTGATCATATAACTAGAATGATGGAACATGCAAACACACAGTCGATTACCGTATGCTGCTGGGATTTATAGAGACGACTGATGTTTTTTCACACTAAGAGAACTCTTTTGAGGGTGTGAGTTGGTCTGACCCACAAAGATTAATTTGGCCCCGTAACTACAGCAGAGCCAACATCTGTGTAATGCATGTAACGGGCAGTGACATGCCTTTTTTTATTTTCTTTCAATTATAAGTTTATAGTTGTGGATGAGACTACTTTGGTGTCTGTGGCCTGCCAAGGCTTTGAGGCCACAAATACGAGGTTCCATGCATGGGACTAATTTGAGAATCAGAGCCTAAGCTTGTACTTTTATTAACTGCTGAAATGAAGTTCAGAAGGGAGAGGGAAAGTCCAGCAGATGTCACTAAACAACCAAAACAATTTTGGGACAGAGCAAAAATACCCTTTAAATAAGTGTTTTCTCTCTTACTCAGGTAAACAGAATGCCCTGATAATGGGTAAAAAAACCTGGTTCTCCATTCCTGAGAAGAATCGTCCTTTAAAAGACAGAATTAATATAGTGCTCAGCAGGGAGCTCAAGTATGTATGATGAATAATAGCCCTGTAAAATAATTAACAAGTCTGCACCTAAAAAGATGTATAGCAATACATCCTAAAGTAATTCTAAATGCAACATTTTTGATACCTGCTTAGTAAGCACCTCTGCTATTGGTTCTGAGTGATATCACTACTTTACCTTTAATTTTTTAATTATTATTTTTATTTAATTTATTTTTTTAATTAATTCAGGAGATAATTGTCATTACTTTGCATAATAAATACTAGTCCTAGTTCTACACACAAACCATCTGACAATTGTCAGTAGTGTTTCTGACTCATGTATTTAACTGTATTTCTCTATTCCTGGTTATATTGGTGGCCCTTACTCCCTTTTTTGAAGTTTATATTTACTAGCATTTAAGCAAAAAGAACTGTCCTTTTCCAGAGTTCTCTCCTTGAATCCATCACCTGCATTCATCCAAATATTCTTAAACAAAAATGTCCACTCATAATAGCTTATTGATTTGGAGGATGTTGGTGGATTTTGGGCTGAATATGGGGTGGGGGCAGGGGATAGGGGCTTTTTGTCTAGTTTTGTTGAATGAGATATTAATATTCTAGAATTCAAAGAGAAATCTGTATTTAATTTTGTAGATATCTAAATTTCTCAGTTACGCTTTTTTAAAAATATGATGTAAAATTTCAGGTCTGTAATTTATAATGCCTCTTAAGTCACAGGTGTGATTAAACTGTGATTTATTAAACAATCCTGCGGTCAGATGAGAATTCTAACATAGTTTAGCAATAATAGGCATTTCAAAATAATTAACTAATGTGAAACATTTAGTCATTTGTGAATTCAGCAAAACACATTGTATGTCTAGAGTGTATTGATTATCAGGATGAATGGTCCTTTAATTATTTAGTAATAAAACTTGGCTTTTTCTAGGGAAACCCCAAAAGGAGCACATTATCTTTCCCAAAGTCTGGATGATGCTTTAGCTCTTTTGGATTCACCAGAGTTAAAAAGTAAAGTAGACATGGTTTGGATCGTCGGAGGCACTTCAGTTTACAAGGTACATTTAGAGTACTCCTAAATTACTCATTTTCTGCAAAGGAATGAGGATGGCTCAAGTTCCTATTACTTCTGCTTTAGGAAGTGCCTTTCCTTCACGTGGCCCAGCAAACTCCAGTGATTCCAACAGAACAAGTCTTGGAGTGTCACGTTTCAATTCACAAGTTTAAGATACCTGTTCAAGTAACCAAATGTTGCTCTTGCTAATGGTCCAGCATCATACAGTCATTGTGCTTTTGAAAGCTTTTCTTAAATATTTAAATTGTTAGGTTTTTACACCAAGACCCGTATTGTTATGTTTATTTTACTGAGGGAGTTGACTGTCTCTGCAGAGGATGTGGGAAAAAAGGAAAAATGATCCTGCATTTTTAGCCAGGTATGATACTTTGTACAGGTATACAGGTAAGAAAAGAGGATTTAGAAAGAGCTGGTAGGTGATGGTGTCAGCAATAAGAGGAGGTAATCATACCACAAAACGTAGAACTGACTCTCTTTTCCCATCCAGCAAACAGGCATCCCTACTGTTCCCACTCCCCATGTTTCTCTTGGTGTCTAGGGTGTCTTGGTATTCAGGTGTCTGTTCATGTGCCAAAAAGGCAGCGTGTGCTGCTTTATTCTCAGGAGACCATCTTTGCACAGACAAAGCCCTGTATAAACTGTCCTGTTTTCCCACAAATGCGGTAGTCCTCCCTTTAGTTAACTAAGATACTAGCTGTGCAACTTGAAGGTCTGCAGTAAAACCTATCTTGTTGCCCTGTGTTTCCTCAGCCATCTTTCTTCCTTCCCGCAAACTCTTCCTCATTTTCCGTTTATACACATGTAGAGTTTAGTCAGCTCTCCATGCCTCCACCTGCATCCCTAGAGTCATCCTTTCAGCTCCTACACAGTCAGGAGGTTCTGCCCTTTAACTCTCAGTTGATTTTGTCGCCTTTTGTTAAGTTCTCATATAATTTGCATTTATTGTCCAACAGTACCACACAAAAGATTATGGCCATCAACCCTAGTTCCTTTCTTATCAATCAGGAGAATATGGAATTACAGCAGTAAGCATTCTTTCTTCTGATTAAAAAATGTTAATTAAGAATTGTAAAGCAGTTTTTTTTATATATATAGTAAAGGAAAAACAGTTCTGCGGTCCTTCAGTCATTAGAAGTATGCTGGGAAATATACTCCACTTCTTGTTTGGCACTTGGGCTTTAGGCATGTGATGAAAATGCCATCATGCTCCCGGTCGCAAATTAGGACTGATAATAGGCTTTGTGTACGGGGTGGGAAAATACATGTTCTGCTATTTCTTGCCTTTGCAGTTTGTGCCTTTCATGAATGTCTTCTCTGTGTCTTAGGGAATGCATCTTTTACAGTAAAAAAAGCAAAGTAGTTAGATATTGCTAAGGTTGTAAGAAAAATAAGATGCATATGCAAATAGTATGTAAAACACTGTTGTTCGTCTTTTTTTTTTTTTTTTTTTTTTATTTTTTTTTTTTTTTTTTTTTTTTTAATTTATGTTTTATAATCACTTTTGCATGTGGTGAAGTCCACCATATTATTTGATGTCCAAATGCATTCAGTCTATAATCAAGTATTATCCTACAGAAGTAACCTGTCCTTCACTCTCAGCCATTAAAATGCCTGCTTCCAGGCAGTAAGTAGCAAGTTTAGTTCTGGAGACAGAGTCTCTTCAGCTTGGGCATAACTGCCCAACATGAGGAAGAGACTAGATTTGGCTTCTGCCTGTAATTCTGCAGGATGCATAGTGCGAGCACAAGCATTTACCCCTTCTGTGCAATTGCCACAATACTCATCTAGTGCTGTAAAGAGTGATTATTTTTGCATGTTCTTCCAGAAGCGTCTGTCTTGTAGACTTCTAATCTAACTATTTTTCCAGTGTCTGGCTGATACTTTGTACAAAATAACGCCATTTTTTAGACTACTACTCACCAATACTTAAATAGGCAGTTTTGATCGAGAGTACTTTTGCAACATATTACTTGTGCTGATCAGCATAAGGGAATATGACTTAAAATTTCAAGCATCTACTCGGGACGTTTCAAAGGAATTTGTAATTCGTTAGAGAGAAATCTGACAGTTTTATACAGATTCCTGCATTCAGACTGGCTTTGTGATCTTAATTAACAGGGTTTGATGGAAACCATACACCTCTACCAAAACTGCAGGTAATATTTTTAGTGCCTGTATTAAAGATGCACAAAGGATTACAGGAATATTTCCATTATACCATGTAGAAATGTGTGGGAAGTAAAGTAGCAATTGGTAATCAAAGTGAATCATTTTATTCAGTAGTTGTAGGTATTTGCTTCTAAAGCATTATTTTGATCTTACTAGTGTGTATGGCTCAAAGGTTTAGAACTGATTGTGTTTATTAGTACAAGCCTGTGATGGAAAAGTGTCTGTAACTAGAGTCAGATGGTGACATTTCCACTTTTAGCACTTTGGGGAGTTTAACTCAAAGTTCAGATCTTTCAAACTAGGTGGACCTTTACGAAGACAGACCTTGATGATGAGAGCAGGCCACTGTGGAAAGCACCATACTTCTCTTTTCATCTGCCTCCTGCAGATGATGGTCCCAACCACCATCAACCCTTTTCTATTCCTGATCTTGTACCTGGCTCCTCCTACTCACTTACGACTAACACTGCTGTGCCTGCTGCATCTGAGTGTAGCCACACAACAGTGCAGTAGAGAGCTGTTTTGCACCAGGAGGAGCTAGTCCATTATGATCCCACAAAGAAAAGCACCCAGACTCTGTAAAGTGTCATTTAAAATGCTACATATTGGAGCTAACACTTTAAAAAAGGACAGAATAGTATAAGTAATCTTACCTCCCTTTTGATATTCATAAGTGAGTTCTGTGGCATTGAATGAGCCTCTAAGCCACATGCCCCGCAGACCCCGTCTGTAGAAAGGGCTATCCCATTTTGGTCATTCAAGCTATTACAGGACTTTCTTACAAGAAAACAAGTTTATTCATCATTTCTGCTGTCAAACAGAAGGGATGTTCACATGTGAACTTCTTGCTGCTCTTTTAGATAAAGGCAAGCACATGCAGGTGGTATAGTTGTCAGTACTAAGTGGTACCTGCCTACAGGCTCTGTTACCGTTTTCTGGCTGAGCTTGCCCTGTGGCCAAGGAATACCCGCAGCACAGTACAGGCCTGTGTCTATTCAGGTTAATTGTTATGTAGATTGCTAACTCCTTAATGTACAGTGGTCTTTCAGTCAGGATCACTACAAAAGGGAATGGCAAGCTCACATATGCACCTGTTGCACTTACTTTGGGAGGGCTGCTTTGACAGCCTGTCACAGGCTGCTGTGGATATCTTGAAGGCTCAGTAGGAAGACTAATGCCCCCGCTAATGGCATTTCTGGAGTGTTTACTGCTCTGCCCCTGGTTTTTGCATTCCTGGAGTCTTCACTGCTCTGCCCTGGTTGATCTGCTGCCCTTGGCACTGGGGTTGAGCTCAGGCTGGTGGCATCCCGTTGGTATGGGGATGCTGGAGAATAAGAACTAGGTGCAGAATGTATTGAATGTGAGGGTACAGAACTGAGGCCACCAGTCAAGAGCTGCTACAACAGCTTTGCCATTACCAGACAGCACTTCGAGAGTCCGTATCATTATTCAAGAGGGTGACTTATTGTCGTGTGGAACCTTTTAAGACCAGCTCCTGACCTTAGCAACTTCTGATCAGTTATCAGTTTGGGATGAAGAGGTCCACCATGATCAGGGTTGTTGTCGCTGAGCTCCCTGAAGCAATCCTCCAAGCCATATTTCTGTAGATGGTATATATGAATGATCGTCCAGGCCTTTGCTCTCTTTGGTTTCCCACATCCCAGCCGGGTTCCAGTCCCAGGGTAGCAAGCCAGAAGGGTTACCAAGGGTGGCCCATGAACTGAGTCAGATTCGCACGTTTCAGGAGGTTTCCAAAGAACCTCAGACTGAAAAGGGATGCTGGCACCTTTCTCCACAGGGTCATTCAAGATGCTGGAATGCCTGCCTTATATGAAATAGTGCATCTGCTCTGTGCCTCATGCTGTGCTGCCCAGATACCATGCTGAAACACAAGCCTGGCTTATCCTTATCCAGAGAGTTGTGCCAAGGTGGAGCATCTACCCAGCTGCCTGAGTGCACAGGGGCACTCTTTGGGACACGGGTGCCCAGCCTGTCTCTCGGTCTCGAGTACGGATGGCTGCTGTGCCCTGCCCAGCCTCTAAAAACTGAGGCAAGCAAAGTGCTAGAGCATGTGCCCCAGGATGGCATTTCAGGACAGGATGCTGCCCTCAGCAACAGAGGGGCAAGGAATGGGATGGAGGAAAGGGACTGCTGCTGTCTACAGCCTCTTCCTTGTAGGGCTGCAGCGGATAGAGGAGCAAGCCTGATAGTCTCTGAACATTTATAAGGACACAGTGCAGCTGTCTATTGCTTATAGCCATCTTGCCCACTGCCCCAGGTTCTCAAGGACACAGTTCTCTCCAGGGTGGTGGGAGTATTGGCATAAGCTGCCTCAAGTCCTGTGAAGAACAGAGAAAGGTGAGCTCTGAACAGGGTGGCCATCCAAGTGCTCATGTAGCTTACATTCATGCTGAGTTCAGCAGCATAGTCTGGGAAACTGTCTCTTCTGGGCCTTAACCTTGGCAACAGGAAAAGGCAGAGCAGCTAGACATAGTAGGCATTTTGGTGGGGATGGGGAGAGCTGAGTAGAGCATTGGTATTAGGAATTCTGAGCAGAAAAGATTGAAAACAGCTCCCACAGTCCACTGAGGGTTCAAAAACCTTGTGCAGCCTTCGTCTTCTTAAATTTGATTTGACACTGATCCCCTCATCAGGTTTGCAGTCTCCTGATGCAGCCACAAGGTAGTACTGTTGCCTCCAGGGAAGCTTTTGGACTTCTCAGGGCACAGGTTTACAAGTTTCATTTCTTTGGATCTCAGTGTGATGCTGTACTGGATCTTCTGCACTATTCTGGATCTCCTGAGTTCTGAAAGG